AAATTAGTGTTTTTAAATATACATATCTGAATCCGAACTGCACCAAGATTAAAAGCAATTAAAAATAACTGATTTCTCTCTGTCTTTTTTTTTAAAACTTTCAAACGATTAACTTCACAGTATCGGTTTGTAGGAGAAGAAAAATCCAGCGTTTTGTTTAAGCAGAACAGTATTAAGGTCAAATCCCAGCTCCAGTGAAATCAAAACCAAAGGGAACCAAAAACGTTTCCAATTATGTTCTTTACAAGACAGAGAAGCTGCTGCATAATAACGCACAATGTTAAGTGTGCAATGTTTTCGTACTTTTCTGTAGAGTAAGGAACATTTTTTAAAATAACATGAACCATGTTTAAGAACTATTGCAACCTTTTAAAAAGCCCAAAGAACAAACATCCAAAGTTTTTGAAATAAAAGTGCAAACTTCTTTTTTAAAAAAATCAACCCAGAAAGGGTAGAAAAGTATAATCTAATAGAGTGTCTAGGCTTCAACTACAGTATTCATTTAGGCTGGTGGAAGTCTGCCTTTTTAACTGCAGTATCAAGTATCTCCCCTGCCAAATTTGAAAATGGCTAGACAAATACAACACAAACTTGTTTTTAAACTCTCTTATTATACCAATCCACTCAAGTGGTGTCATATGGCACTTAACATTTTATTTTTTCAACAGTTCTTTTTTAACTATCAGCAGAACTAGGAACAAGTAAGTGCCTAAACACAGAGACCTAGGCACACATGCTGCCCCATTCATTACAACAGGAAATGCAAATCAGCTTTTAACATATACGGTACTTTCTCTGTTGCAATGTACAGTACAAGGTTGATCTTCAAAACACCAGAGATTCCGTGTCACAATCAAGAGTTCCTCAATCAGTTGTGGGATCAGCACAAAAACAGCACTACATTCCACGCAAAGTTTCACACTTTTCAAGACATAAAAGTTCAAAATTTACACAGAGGTTTCAAGCTTGTTATTTTGAAAAGCTCTGAAGTAAGCATTTCTTTTTACCAAAAAAAAAATCTAATAAATACTACATCAAGTATCATCAGGAAGAAAAAATATATATAACTTAAAATTTAAACAGAAAAGAAATAACTTAATTTTTGAAAGTTTTGTTCAGTGCTATTTCCAATCCAAAGGGAAAAGAAAAAAAAAAAACGAAAAAGGAAATAAAACAACAACCCATGAAGTTAAGACCACTGTATCCTAGTCACATATCTTAGGCATATGACTTTCTGGCCTGCCTTAGTATGCGTTACCGAGAATATCTATACAATGAATGAAAGACGTACTATAAATAGAAATAAAATTTCACATTATATGTGCACTCATCATTTCAGAAAAACGTAAGAAGAGCTTGCGACACTTGTCATGTGAACACCATCCACCCACCTTTCTCCACCACTATCACTGCTACATCCCTGCTCATGTTTCTCCTTCACAGCAGTCTTTTCTAACTACATGGGCGAAGAACGAAAAGAGGGAAGACATGCACACAGGAGTGGAGGGGAAAAAAACACAGCTTTCCATGATTCAGTCCCTACTATTGAAGAAACAAGTCTCCTTTTTTTAAGATCGCAAAGACTTGCTTCTTTGGAAGCAGGAACCATCGAAGCAAAAATTTAATTGGGTTTAGGCTGGGCATGGTAAACATTTCTGTCCCTCCTTTGGGGAACCCCACCAATGAAAGGAAAATGCTAGCAACGTTTTCTTCTAGAGGATAACATAATCTGTCCTTGAAGTCAGATTATTTCAGTGCTTCCATCATACTGAAATTAAAAATAAACAAAAATGTCAAGAGAGATGTTTTCACTTTAAGATAACTAGAAAACGTTAGTAAATTTGATTTAGCAATCTTTCTGCACCCACTGATTGGATGCTAGGTATATATTCAACTACAGATCATTATTTCTGTAATGTCTTAGATAACACAAAAGCATACTTTGCATGAATATCAGTAAGAATAATCTGATATTCGGTGACACAAAGTAAAAGACATTCTGGAATTAGCAGAAATCTGTGCACTGACACACTACAAGTGCTGTAACCGTACAGCATTCTGCTCAGTTCTTTCGTAACCAAAACACAACCGGGGGGGGAGAGAACCAGAATGCAAACAACGTGACAATGTTTTGCTTGCTTGGAGAGAACCATGTGAATGGTCAAGTTTAACCACTTCTCGCCATTCACATGTCATTAAAACTTGGCAAAATTTGACCTATGCAAACAAAGTTTGTATCAATACGAACAACATGGAAAACAATTTTTCACTGCAGGATTTTTCCCCATTAAAAAAAAGGGACTGCGAACATTAGGCAATGAGTACCACAAACTATAGGATGCAACAGGCACCCTACTAATTTAAAATGAAATGTTCAAGCTTTTTCTCTGAAGGAGTTATTCTTTAAAACTGCCTGCACGTTCTTCCCCCGTGAAGGAAATTATACTGTAATACAACTCACAAATTGTACCTCCATTGTGTAAGTTCCTGACCCCTGTAACTTCCTTGAGGCCCCATTCATTTGGACCATCCTTCTTCTCTCTCCCCAGGCCTGTCTCCACCAGCTGTTGCTGCCAGATGTGCGCTCCCTCTCTCAAGTCTACAGGATAGGCAAATACCAGTTCTTAACATGAGCTTCTAAGGAGGAGGGGGGGTGGAGCAAGAAAATAAAACTGGTGCTCTACCCACTTTTAGTGGCCTTCTTTCTATAGCCGCCTCCAACTTAGAAATTATTTCAGAGATACAAGCTGGGGGTGTCAAGAAATTGTAAGAAATACATGTGTTCATCAGGAAAAAAAACACAAAAGCTTAGGGAAATGTCGGGATCTGCATACAATTTCCCCACAGGGAAAGGAATGTGTATGCCTCTGTGCACTGGCATACACCAACACCAAAGTGTGTGCCCTGCTATGGCTCATTGACCGAGTGTAATCAGACTTGGGGAACTTAAGGCCTGTGAAACTGTCTGGAGTGACGGCCAACATCCTACTTTGTTCCTCTCCTTAGCAGAAGTTTGAAATGCAGAAATCAGCCAGCGCAGAAGTTAAAAATGATGTCTCCTGATGTCTGTAGATCAAATAGGAAGGGTATAAGGGCAAGCCAATTCAGAATGGGCATCTCTTAAACTAAGTCTCAAGAGAAAAAAAATCCAATGAGTGACTTTACTAGTTACAGTCTAGGGTAGACAACCGGATGCATGACAGATGCCCTGGATTGTAACACCCATAATTCCTTATCAGAACTTACCATTTTAACTGGGGCTGATGGAACTGTAGTCCAAAACATCCAGCAAACCCTAGATTGCTTAACTCTGACCTACAGTATCAGGAAGCAGACCACAGCTGTTCCTCTAACCCATGTCCAGAAACTGAGAATGAAAATGGGGGCAATACAAATAGACCCATCTTTTTCGCTAACCAGGTGGAGCACCAACGCCATGACCCCTGAATGCACAAATCCGACACTTCAGCCACAAGGTGTCCCTGGTCCCTCCCCTACTTTGCCATGCGCAACGTGGGCAGAATCCTAGTAGCAAACAAGCGCTCCACAGTTGCTCCCGCAATTTCCAGCTTGCAATCGTGTAAATCAGATCACCCAGCCAAAAATGGGCACTGCACAAAGGGAGCGTGAGTATCCGTTGTGCAATTGCAACCCCACTCTAAACAATGACAACAACAAAAACCCAGCCACTTGTGCAATGGGGCGGTGGTGTGTGCAGCGATTTAGTTCACGCAGTGGGCAGACGGACTTTTGTTACAAAAGGGGTCACCTGTATGGAACTTCCTTGCCCCCATCCCCAAAGTACTTTTGTTAGAAGCAGAACTAAGGAATTTTATTAGCTGAGGAGGTCCAGGGATTATTATTATTATTTTGCTTTTTTAGAACTCACATGCCAAGAAATGTGGATGCTGGCACCTTACATGGCATCCCCTACTCCAAAAACATTGAGCCAGCAGGTGAATGAAAGCCTACAGAGAAAGGCCCCTCTTCTCTCTTTTCCCCAGCAGACATAGATCACGGCAGCAGGGCATGGTGGCAACAACCTCTGAACATGAAAGTCCCATGCTCACGCATTAAAAATGCTACATGCGTCAGACAACAGGTTACTCCATACAACATTAAACTTACACACTGAAGACATGTGTAAACCAGACCAGATTACACTGTACAGGTGGGGGGGGAAAGACATTTCAGTGCAATTTGTTAACAACCCTAACTTTCAGTGGAAAATTAAAAGGGAAAGAACAGCAGCAAGATGAGGTTGATCCAGCAGGAAAGAGTTTCCAAAAGACAGAAACCTCTACCTCCTGCTGATATACAGTACAGGAAACTTCAAAACTGCTTTACATCAGAATCAAGGCCTCTTGACAGTATTCTATGCAATCCTCTTGAGGCATACAAAAACCAGATTTCTCTTGTTAAAAAAAGATGTCATTGAAAATGTGAGTTTGCCCTGGAGATTCCACTTGCACAGAACTATGAAACTTAAAGAACTAAAAAAAAAGTTTGGTAGACATGAAAGTGAAGCCATTAGAATCCAAAATGCCTACGTGAGGCCCCTACAGTGAAAACACAAATTACAATATGAGCAGAAAAGGAGACAGCTATGCAAGCAAGCAAAACCCATCCTATCTAAGGTGTTGTTTTGACCAAGGCTAATACACTCTCTCTCCCTCTCTCTCTCAACTGACATTTCTACCAGTTTAGTAAGAATAGTAGAACCACACAGCGTATCTTCAGTGGTGGAGCAGTGCACTCTATACACCCAATTACGCCAATCAATGGGATTAAATCAGATGCTACCTAAGAATTTTTGATTAAGTGATTCATAGAGCAAGAGGTGTCTCACTTGTCACACAGAAATAAACACAACGTGAAAGGTTAAGTAATCACAGACGTAAAAAGTGAGCCAGGGACAGGCGGAGCGTGCAAACTCTTTCTCCCATGAAATGTACATCTACATTCTCCCATTCCACCCCCGCCCACCCGCTCCCGTTTTACAACATGGTTTGCCCCACGTGAATCAACACAGCGTAGAAAAGTTAACAGCCTCTCTCTCTCTCTCTTTTTCCTTCTGCAACCCAAGAACTAGCCTCTCACACCACCAGCGACTTCACAAGGCCACAGTGAAACTTGCGGATGTGTCTGTACAAATCACCCGACTGGGTGAAGCGTCTCTCGCACCACTTGCAGCCGTGGGGCTTCTCCCGTGTGTGGACCACGGCGTGGCGGCTGAGGTTGTGGGAATACTGGAAGCTCTTCCCACACTGGCCACAGGTATACGGCTTCTCGCCCGAGTGAGTCCGCTCGTGTCTTTTTAAGGTGTACATGCAGGAAAAAGTCTTGCCACAAAGGGTGCAAGTCGGGACCGAGCCGTCGGGGGACAGCCTGGTCCGGGCGCCGTCCTTATCGCGGAAGTGCGAGCTGAGATGCAGCTGCAGAACATGGGAGCTAGGGAAGACTTTGCTGCAGAGCGGGCAGACGCAGATGTGCCCGGGGGGCACCAACACCCCCGAAGAAGAAATGTCCGAAGAATCCAGGTCGTCCTCACTCACCTCCCGCTCTTGATCCATTTCCTCTTCCGGCACATGCGAATCGCCGTTCCCCACAAAAATGTTCCCTAAGCCCGTCACCAAGCTCTTGGCAGAGCGCTCAAAGTGCTGACTCTCCGGGCTTCTCGCCTCCTCGTCAGAGAGGGACTCCGGCTCATCTTTAATAAGGGGCTTGCTACCCTGCTGTTGCCCCTCGGAAGCCAGCTGTCCAAAGACGTACGAGGAGGAGGAGGAGGTGGTGGTGTGGAAAGAATCTCTTCCAGCCACCGGCTTGAAAGACAGATCTAAAGCACATTCAGCATCACCGGAAACCAAGGGGCAGCTCACAGACCTTTGGGACGAATGTCCCTCTGAACCCCCGACATCTGTGCTTGCTTTTTCAGCTGCCACGGTGTCCAGTTCGGCCTCTGCTAACGCAGAACTGATATTGACAAGCTCAGCCGACCAGCCAGGGTAACCGCTGCCCTTCTCTGTCCCAGCGGAGGATCTTTCGTATTCTGCAGTGACAAATTTCGGCCGATCTCCCAAGGGTGCTCCGTTCTCCAGGACCCCCCGCACGTCCTTCTCCAGAGGGGCCCCAACGCCGCTGCCGTTCGTCTTCTCCTCCCCGCACGATTCTTTATCTTTCAACTTGCCCTTGCAGACTTTCACAATGTCGTACATGTGAAGGTAGCTGGCTGCAGCCAGGACGTCTTCGACCGGAAGGCTGTCAAACTCCAGCTTGCCTTCGTACATGAATTCCAGCAGCGAGCTGAAGGCTGGGGCCGTGACAATGTCACTGTTCAGATGCACAATGTCCCTTTTGTCTAGCTGGTCTCTGTAGAAAAGATGGAAGTACATGCTGCAAGAGGCGAGAACGGCTCGGTGAGCTCGGAATTGAGCGTCTCCAACTAAGACAGTACAGTCACACAGGAAGCCCTGGTGACGTTGCTGACTCAGGCACTGCAGTAACTGGCGGCTATGATCTGGGAACTCCATTCTTCCTTCATAACCTGTTCAAAACAGGAAAAACTTGAATACTAAGAGGAAAAAAAAACCCACATGGCTTCTAAGCAGCTGTTAACAAGCAAACAAGATTGGTGGAGGGGGGGTGGGGGGGAAGGTAAGTGAAGCCTGAGAGATGACAGTTCAACTGTTAATTGTCTGTAAATTTTGTTTTAATTTTCTTTCTGTTCTTAACGGCCTCCCCACGCCAGAACACCTGCTTTGAAAGCAAGCAAGCAAACAAACAAACAAAACACCCTAAACCAGGAAGCACTTGACTTGCCGGGAAGTAATGGCTTCAATCTCTGTCTTAACATTGCTCAAAGGTTTATTTAGAGAGAGCAAGTCTTCAGAGGTTTTAAACAATCCTGGAAACCTTTACTTCAGGGCACTGGGCACCTAATAAACACAAATGTATTTTGGGCACCCCACCCTCTCTATACACCATACATAGACTATACACTCTAATCATCACACATGTGCTGTAGTTGTTTTTCCAGCCAACCCTTGCCCAAAGGCCACCCTCAGGAATAAGATGTATGTATCTCTCTTTGAAATGCAAACGAACAATTACCCTAGAAGTTGTGATGAAGAGGAACATCAGAGAAACCAACTCCATCACTCGCAGTCCAAAATTCCTCTCAAACTGTTGGGGGGGGGATCTCTCAAAGACACCCTTACCTTGAACAGTTGTACAGCAAGGACCCAAGGGCTCATGTGGATGGGCACACCAGATCTCTCTCCCCCCTCCACAAAAAAACAAAAACAAAGTTGGAAAAGAAGTCCAGATCTTTCTTCCTGCTCTGACAGAGGGGTGCCCCCCTCAAAGGGCTTGGGAAGAGAAGAGGCTTCTGCTAGCCCATCAAGGAGGAAGGCTTGGATGTGTGTGAAAAAGAGAGAGGGGGAAGGAAAAAAAAAGAGAGAGAAAAACAAGGGGGGGAAGAGCGCGTATGGGAGGGAGGGAGTGCTCCGTTTGCTAATTACACCGCAAGCTGGAGAGTCAGCTGCTCTGACTTCACTGCGATGGAAATGCTACCTCCAGCTGTGCCCCCTTTTAATGCCATATGTTACTTCCAATCTAGCTACCAGCCAGCCACAGCTTGCTGCTTTAAAAAAAAGAGAGAGAAAAACAAGGGGGGGAAGAGCGCGTATGGGAGGGAGGGAGTGCTCCGTTTGCTAATTACACCGCAAGCTGGAGAGTCAGCTGCTCTGACTTCACTGCGATGGAAATGCTACCTCCAGCTGTGCCCCCTTTTAATGCCATATGTTACTTCCAATCTAGCTACCAGCCAGCCACAGCTTGCTGCTTTT